AAGATGTTGTGGCCTCTGGTATGGTCGCAGTCTCCTTTCGATGTATAGAAGTGGGTTGACCTCGTTGTCGTTGGGCAACTATGTAGAACGAACCTAGTCCGAAGTCGTCTGCCAGAATAGTTGTCATGATCCCCAACATCAGACAGCGGACTTGGTACATTCTCAAACGTTTCGCCGGCATCGTCAGTGAGTGCTGCCATTCTCCGCACCAAACTACAAACTCGTCAAACAGACAAGTCAAGTTGCCGATGAGGCCATGTTGTGAGTTGTCTCACAAGGAACATTTGTTTTGAAATGAAAACTCGAATAGCAAAAGACCAAGTATTTGGAATTCATCTGACAACCGAGGTTTGTCTCGGTCTAAAGCTCTTGTCAAAGGCCGTAAACGGTTGCACGAATGGTTCCCAAACATTTCTTAGTCGCTGCGCCCTTTTTCAATTAACATTGTTTCATGGCGCCCTACCCTAATTATGACTATTCGTAAGTAAGAGATAAATAAATGAATAAATAAATAAAACTCGTGAATCTTAATTATTTTTTTTACTTTATCACCATTAAATTAATATTTAATAATTAATGTGATTGATGAGCCTGCAAATCACTGCGCCTTTTCTCAAATTGAAGCTATTACAATATTTCGCGACGCACATTTTGGGAATCACTGGGTTACACTTTCACTCCACTTTTTGTCCGGGCCTATCTATCTACTCTTCACCCTCTTATCACAACTTCTCACTTGTCTACATTCCACTCGTCAATAGGTGTGCCCTTTTGTGGCAAATCTAGTCGCTAGGACAACAAGACCAAGTTGCGACAACGAGGTCAACCAACTTATAATGTTCAACTTTTGTCTGTTCCGTCGTGATCAACGTCGTCATAGCGACAAGGCCTACTATTAAAAATATTGTCACACAACTTCCTGTTTCGAGGGGAAAGTTGCTTGCGGGTAATTTGTGACTTGAGGTCGGCGGCGACAGAAGCTGGAATAATATTCGGCTTTTGTTTGCTAACCAAAAGTTGCTTCTGTAGTAACTTGTAAATTGGCCGTATTGGAAACCGAAGAAGGACTGGCAAGATTTCAAAGTCTAAAATGTTTTTTCACACTTACCAGTGTGGAAGTCTGGAGGGTACGGAGCACCACGATACAATCTGGGCTTTGACAAGAACCTTAAACCGAGACAGGCCATTGGTCTTTTGCTATTTGAATTGTCATTTCGAAACAGATGTTCCTTCTGAAACAACTCGCAACATGGCCTCATCGGCAACTGAAAAACGGTTTTCATGGAGTGGAGATGGTCATTTCATTTCCAAGCAAAAGTTGCTCCTAAGAGCAGGTCATAAATTGTGGCATCATACTCCATTTAGCAAAAAGGTTTGTTGAAATAAACCTACTTTATCGTGAAACCGACGAATGTTTGCCGAGGAGTAAAGAATGTCGCAGCGTTAAATGAGATGTATTCAGCCTATTTCGTTTAAGGTGATAAAGGTGTGGTAGTAGAATTTTCCCACAATCATATGAATAGAGATTTGGGGAGGCAAGACTATGTGAAATGCAATGGAAAACATCAGCTCTACTTATCAGATTGTGAGACAATTCTACTAACAGTCCTTCATCAACTTAAACGAAATAGACTTAATAAATGTCATATTACGGATTTACTGGTGGTCTCAAAACTTTACTAATACACGCAAAATGTTGGATTGTGCCAAAACGTCCTCGAATCACCATCCTTCCAACCAAATTTTCCTTCGTAATGAAAATCATGTGACAAAATAGCACCAATGAATTCTTTGTGGTATAATATTTTACTAAAAAAGTCTACCAAATGAGTAGACCCAAAGAAAAGAGAGCAAATTGCACGGGACATATGCAAACTGGCATCGGTTCTACGAGATATCAATACAAAAAGAAAAGTTTGGTTTCGAGGAGTCTCTCCTTTCACAATTGTCGAGCTTACTTCCATTTCGAGTGAAAGTGGCCCGTGAAGAGATTTGAAGGTCGGTTCCACCAGAAGACGACGGCGGATTCCTCTTGACCAGCTTTCGATCTCCTTCGATTCCGGTGACTGGTGCTAAGCTTTCGTCCGTCATATGACGGACTCGTTAGCTTCAATTTTGTTGTGACGATGATACCTCACTCAGAGCGTCGCATGTTCTGCTTTCTTTTTGACTTTAGGACAAGCCTTCTCAGCGATATTTAGAGCCTCAGGTTTTCAATGTACCATTTGGACTCGCAGACAAGGTGTTGAGCACCGAAGGTTAAATAAATATTTTTAAAACTCGCCTGTTTTGCTGAAATTGTGGCCAAAATTATTCATTGTTGAGCTTACTTCCATTTGGAGCTTCATGCTGACGCCGTTTCCGAGGCAATCTACTTCGATTCCGGATAAAAGGTGCTAAGCTCTCGTCCGTCATGCGACGAACATCATCAGAACAAGGTATCATTCTTATCACCAAATTCAAGCTAACGAGTCAAGAAAATTCATCGACAAATGCTCATAAAGTTGTAACTAACCAAATCACTTTATACCTCATCAAAGAGGTCAGATAAAGACTATATTTATGGCTTTTTACTGATTTGCCGGTGAGTTTTCTTGACTCGTTAGCTTCAATTTGGTTGTGAATGACGGACGAAATCTTAGAACCTTTTCAACGGAATCGAAGGAGACTGCCTCGGAAACAGCATCAGCA